AAAAGGAAATTAAATATATGTATATATCATACATATTATATAGTCGATCGATTATAAACTACAAATTAATAGTATATGGCAATGTAATGGTATATTTCACTTTATATAAAAAATCTTTTTTAAATTTATTATTAAACATATTATTGGCAGATTTTTTCGACTAGATAATTGCTGTTCTCTCTTATCTTACGGTTTTTCATAGTTCCTCTCGATTTTCGAGAGGAAGCGTGGAAGAATCACGCACGAGTTTCGAGTCTTCCGTGTCGCTGATGTGCCCGTCCTCGCCGGTATAATGCGTCGGATAAATTAAAAGTGGATTCGTTGACAAGATAATTAAATCCCGAGTAGGAAATTCAGCCGCCCACTGTTCCCTGTCGAGACAACGAAATGTCAAATAAAGATTATTCATCTCTGTCAGCAATCCGCTTTTGTTAACAGAAGAAGTACTTTTGCTAATAAGAAGAAATTGCGGAATCGACCGTGACTTTTCGTTCGATCAGATTTATTGTCAGTTTACTTCCTGAAATCTTATTTTTGCCGATTCGAATGCGGATACTGATTTATCCGCGAGAAATGTGCGTATTTATTTCTAAAACTGTGGATATTAATCATTTCACGTACTCAGGATGCGTGTCCGAAAGAATGGGGAGGAATTCGTCAACGGGAATTAATTTCCCGAGAGGCATAGCACCGATCAGTTTCTTCGCTCCGCTCTCCGATAAAATGTAACCAAGAGTCCAGTAACTGTATCCCGCTCGAACCAGGAACTTAGATCCTTTCACTGGACTCTCTGATTTCATCAATTTTTTCCTTCCCATATATCTAAACATAATAGAGATTATATACTTATATATATAAATGCAACGTGTCAATTTTAGGTCCGTGACTGTCTTCTAGAATTAATTTTCAAATGAATTTTTTTTTGTTGCTTGTAAAATTCAAAAGAATCAAAAAATAATTGAACTAATTTTACCGCAAACTACAATCGCGAGCGTGATACAACAAAGCCTTAATTTTCTTACTTTAATCTTTCTATTTCTTCCTCTCGATTTTCCAATATAACTTCTGTATACCAGCTTTGAATGAAATAAATTGTGTAGAATCGCAAGAAGCTCTGTTCAAGAGAATCGAGTTACGAAACAGTGCGAAAAAAAAAGGTCGGAAAAAATAATAAATTTTTCCGCAGGACTTACATTAAATCCCACTCGAGTCCAAGATCAGATAACTCCGCCAAAACGTAATCGACTTTCTGTCGAAAAAATGGCTCGAAGCGAACGTCATCCTCCAACACCATAACGCGTTTGTAGCCATGCTCCAGCACCTAATATATATTTCATCAATAATCAACGAGTTCTCTTTCTCAATTCAAGAGTGTTATTTACCTTTTGCCATACGACGTAATGACTGAGAAAGCAGCCAATTTCGCCCATCGTCATCGGTCTACGGTGCCGGAAAGAAAGACAAATTATCAGGAAATCCGAGAGGTACTTATAGAGGTAACTTATAGAGGTAAGTATACACTATACAGTACAAACGGTTTCAGTAAAGTAAATCTCACAAATCATACATTATTAACGAACGATCTGATTGTCTCAAGTCTTTTTGCTTGAATTCAATTGATTAATTGATTTAATTGATTGGATTAAATTTTTCGCCTGTTTTCACCTTTTGTGGTAGGGATCCGAGTATCCTGGCATCGGTATTACACCCCATTTCTTTAGAGTACTCTCGTTTAAAATCCTGGAACAATAAGAGGGAATAATGAGATTAAGTTAATTGGCGAGGAATACATGATAATGAGAGTTTTCTGGAAAAGACATAATCGAAAAGTAAGCTCATTAAAATAATCTAACGTCAATTAGATTAAAACAATCTAATGTCAATCAAATATCAATTATAAAATAGATATGCAGATCATTTCATTATTGATCAGTGAAACATTACACTGGAATAACTAATACTGTATTAATGCCTATAGGCATTTGTGTATACACAAATCTATGTAACATAAAAACGAACAAAATAACGATATAATAATTTAATGTGATATTTGGAAATGCAAAATATTTTTTTCTTTTTGCAAAATTCTTTTTCATTTGCAGATCCTTTGTTTGCATATTTTTTCATATATATACAGCCTCCATCGTCGTAACTTTGTGAAGGGAATAAATGTTACTGGAAATTGATATACGAGGTAAAATCTCAAAGTGGTAGATGCGTAAGCGATCATACGAATTCGTTTGGGCGTCGTATTTTGCGTCGACCCGATCCGACACGAGATATGACTCTCTGTTCCTATATAAAAGATATTATTAAAACCAATAAAACCCCGAAGTCTGGGCACGTGGATCGTGATCAAAATTCAAATTGAATCGAAATAATAAAAGGTCAAAATTACGTTGTACTTATCGTGTACTATTATATACTATCGTGTACATCAGCAATCAATTTTGAGATTGTCAATTCCGATACGGCGTATATTGGCACAAGCACATCACGGTATTAGTTTTCCGGAATTTTCTTGTAAAGCAAACCTCTCCCATCTCTCTCACGTAAAACAAGCTTCTCCCGTCACGATGATCGGATTATTACACATCGCGTCGAAGCAACGTGATTCTTCGACAATAAAATTATTTTTCAGCATTCCCAATTCTCTTTTTCGTCTGTGTATTCTCGTGTTCCAATGAATTAATAAAAACGTATAGAAAACAGAAAACTTTGTTGAAAACGCAAAATAAGCACGACCAGTAAGCTGTAAGCTATAACATTGCTTTATGATTTTTAATTAAGTTAAGATCACATCAAACACATAGAAACTAGATAAAATATAAATTTCAAATTAATTCATAAATAAGAGTCACATCAATGTAACAAAATAAATAAATATCAGTACATAGAGAGTTTAATATCCGACTATAAAGCTGCAAATTGCCGATTTTTAATTATCCTTGAGACTTAAAAAATATATAAAAAAGTATTTTGATCGTGTATTATATATGTAACTAATATAACTGTCTGCAATTCAATGTGTTGTGTGTTGTGCAGGTCAGAAGAAAGTATTTACCAAAAATTTCGATACTTTGGACAAAATAGCAAAATTGTGTACATGATCTTGTATCGTCGGGTCATAAATAACAACATGTGATTAATTCCCGACTGAGAGTCCTAGCTTCGCATTACACGTAAAAATCGTGTGGTGTAACGACAAAAAAGCGAATAAGCACGTGCTGTGCTGATATCCAGCATGTTGCTCGGGGTGAAAACCAACGCGGCATATGAAGAGGGAACGCTAAAATCCAGAAATAGATACCGTAAACGAGGAAACGAAGAGCGATGACGTAAATTACACTCGCCCTCGGTCAATCTGGATTACTCCTACCTACGATTCGACTCCCAATCTTACTTTCGAGAGGGTAATCTTTCATTCTCAGAGGCACTATCATAGCGTTTGATTAAGTTTTACGCGGTGTTTTCCTCTCGTCGCTTACTTTGCAGAACGCCGCACGAATTTTGACTGGTATCATTGGTATTAATCTTGTGTCACTCAAAAGTAGAATTTTGACAAAATATTTCATTCCTAACGGGACCCCTTGAAGTATCGTGGTATGTTTTATACAATCTCAGGGTTTCTAACTTGAAAAATGATGCCTCAATTCCCGACTCCCACAAGATCGAAAGAAAATAATAGATTACAAAACCGTAACTGGAAAAAAAACGTATAGACAAAAATCTTATTCCAAAATTAATTAATGTAAAAGCTCTTTTTATTTTATTTCACGAAAAACACGCAAAATTTTTTGGTTGATAATATATCATATAATATTACTATAGCACACTTCCCTATGCCATTGATGTCAATATGATTGAAAGGAAAAAAAAATGTATGTTTTTTTACCCTCAGGTCAATAAGCGACCCAATACGAGTATCCACGTGCGAAGATTAAAAAATCGAGATCTTATAGCATTGTAATATTTTACATATCAAATCTGCAAAACTCTTATGTAAGAAGATTAAATATTATATAATATTATATATATA